ACTTCCTCCGTGCTTTCCAAAAATAATAATAATAACTGCTTACACTTATATAGCGCTTTTCTGGACACTCCACTCAAAGCGCTTTACAGGTAATGGGGATCCCCACCACCACTACATTATACTACACCGTTCATCTTGGAGAATTAGATTGTGCTTTCTTTGTCAATGCCTTTGAGGATTATGAATACTTCAGATTTCCCGTTTTTTTTTTAAATCAGTTCTTTTAACCTGTGAATATAGGCCTCAGGAAGTCAGTTACTGCTCTTTACTGGACCAGTTCCAGAGCAGCAATGTATTTTTATTGTTCACTCAAATACAGAGACTGATTATCTGGACAAACTCAACAATCCTCTAAATAAATAAACCATATCTGGAATCGAGTACATCACTTGTACAACTGCAACAGTCCTTCCATCTGATTGGGCATGCATATTCTTCTTGTTCATTTTTTAATTGCTGCTGTACTTTATATTCAGTGGGATAAGCAGTGGGAGTTTTTCCAATTTGACTTTTACTTATAATATATCAGAGGAAAAACAGTTGCTGAAAAACTCCTTTGAATGCCAAGAAACCTGCAGGGAATCCAATTTCTCGTGCACCACAACTTGAAGACAGCTGGTGAAGAACTATATGCTCCATTCTGGTTCTCCCCCACATAATTCCTAAATTGAGCCTGTCTACAAGCATAGCTAGTTAGCACAGGACATAATCCAGGGAGACATGATGTAAAAAGCAAGTGCAACAACAGACAGATGCAACCAGAAAGCATTGGAATGTAAAAAAAACCTGCAGAACCATACTTCCTCCCCTCAATGAAACGACTCCTCTGCACATGATACTGCCATTTGCTTAAATGCTTTTCACTCCTCCCACCCAACAAACAGCACCAAATACATCCCGGAAGCCCTGACTTTTCCACCTGGTAATACCCAACCACTGACATTAATGTCACCTACTGTATGTGCAGAAATGTGCCATGAGTGAGGTGCTCTACCCCATTTTCTCAAGTCCACTCAGCTGTACAAACAGCAACCCGCACTGCTGGGGTAATATCCTAGGGGGTATGACATGGCACAAGTAATCTTAACACTCACAACAAGAGGGCAGTTAACCATGACACCCCACATCTTATGAAAGCACTTCCTCTGCACAGTAAGGACAGGACATTAAACATTAAACAGCATGTTACCTAATTCCAGGAGGCCACATTCCTCAATGCAAAAATGTTTGGTTATTGGGGTTTTTCAGTCCAGTGTGGTAGAGCTCTAAGTGCTAGCGAACCAATAAAATACTAAATGTCCTTTGGAAATCTAACATTTCAATAAATATTCAATGCCCAGTCTTGCTGTGCTCCTTGGAATAGATCATGTAAGACATTAAATTAATAAATTTGAATTGACATGTATTAAAAAAAAGTTTCAAAACCTGCTAGCATCTAAACTATGCAATCTCAGCCAAAGATACAGAGTCATAAATGTCCCTCTCATGTTTCTTATTACCATCAGGAAAAGAAAAGGCACCTAACGTCTAATTAATCTAATTAATTAAATGCATGAGGTGAGCTCAAGTCCTGCATTAAGTGACACAGTATGTAGATAACAGTGAGTAGGGATAATATATCTCAAGTGCGCTTATAAAACATTGTGGTGAACTCGGCGACAAGGGCTTCTTACAGGGTCCTAATGATTTTTTTCTAGAAGAAGAAAATTATTCCAAGTGAAAAATCACTAAAGTTATTAACTGAGAAATCGTTTCTAATCAAGTCCAATATATTTCTGGGCGGTCTTCTATGTGAAAGTGTTTTAAAACAGTTAATATTGTTATAATTAGTGGTTGACTGGCGAAAATCAATTCCACGCACAATGCACCTGGGAGGTTTGCTGGACCGCTGTGTCCAATCAGTTAATAAATGTTCACTTAATTGGAGTGCCTTCAAAATGTGCTGCATTCACAGCATACTGGGGAATAAGCAGTTGCAATTAAAGACGCAAGCATAAAAAACAGTTAAAGCATGGAGCTGAAAAACTGGAAAAAACACTGTTAAAAGATGTTGCCAATAGTCTCACTGTTCACAGACTTCTCAAAGTAGATGCATTCAGTGATACAACTATTGTAACTCTACAAAATGTATTTTAGATTTATCTATAAATACCATATATTCAACCATCCATTTTCTAACAGCTAGCAGGTCATAGGAGAGCTGGAACCTGTCCTGGCACACACAGACACAAACATACACACAGTCACACCAGGGCCAACTTTCCCAGAAGCCAATGAACCTATCTGTACTGTATGTTTTTTTGACTAGTGGAGGAACCCGATGCACCCACATGCACGATGCTCCCGAACACGGGGAGAACATACAAAGTTCATGAAAGTTGCAACAGAGGGCTAGGGCTGGAACTGGGGGCCCCAGCATCGCAAGGCAGCAATTCTAGCCATTGTGCCAGTTAACCGCAAGACAAAAAATAAAGTACTGATACCAGAGGAAAGAGGGCAACCTGTCATAAAAGGTTCAGTCGTGCTGATGGAGCACAGACTCTTTTAGCAGGGTTTCTTGTTAGTCTTTGGAGAGACTGAAACAAGGAAAGAATTCTGGTGACAATACTGCTAAACCAAATTTAAGAATAAGCAGGTATTCAAAGTAACGTCAGGCAGGCACAGGAAGGTAGGAGTGACAGACACTGGGGTATGGAGTTAAAGCAAAGGGTAAAGGAGCAGCTGGAAATTAGCATTTAAAAAGGGAGAGGGGACACATCAGCTAAAGAGGGAGTCGTGCACTTTACCGGGAAGCACTGAGAGCCACGTTAAAAGAGGAACGGAAACGGTCTGCTGTTTAAATTAACCTGCAAGGGCTCTGTCGTATTTACATGACAAAATATCCCTAGCTACCTCCTATACTGTCAATCTGCCTTCAGCCCACAAAATTGAATTTTGTGTCTGCCTAGATAGGCCGTGGGTCTGGAGCTCTCCTGTCACATTTGCAGAAATATGTTTGTACAAGAAGAGGGATAACCCAGGAACTTTCTTGTCAGCTCTCATTACAAATAACCAAACTATCACACACCTTCTTTTGGAATTTGTGCACAAATATTAGCTTAGCACAGGATGACTTAGCGTGATTCTGGAAAGAAAGCTTGAACCTGAATCAGAAAGCTCTCTACTCCTATGTACAATTGGTGGATCTTAATGGAAAAACATTAGTTGGGACCTGTATATAATGGAAGTTCACAGCATACAGTAGCTCTCACAAAAATGGAATTCACTAGCGAAGCTTTATGAATACCGTTTTATTGTACAGTGTAAGTACTACCTCTTATAAAATACTTGTATTTCAATAACACATCAAAACAAACATTGACAAATGGAATTTGAAGAATGAGGGGCCAATGTTGTATTTTTTTTTACAATTGTGTGCTCAAAGAATTGACCTTGGTAGCAAGAAATATTATATTAAGCAGGTATAAGTAAGGATTCCCACGACTATTGTTATGCCTTGCTTCATGTTGGAATTTGACAGAATTAATTGCCTCAAAGGCAGTCTCAGGTCTAATGCATTTTTAAACCATGTCAAAGAAAGCATATGGAAGGAGAAGAGCTGCAAAATGTAAAAAACAAAATGTGTAATTGCAGGGGATCCGAAGAAAGTCAACCCCATTTTTCTGTGTTAGGGTACATTTTTTGTTTATGTTGTTTCATTCCTGCAGTGGAATTTATATTGAAGAGCTTACAACACTGAGCCACCGAAAAAGGTTTACTCAGCAAAGGGAAGAAGCATGAATTGCCACTTCCTTTTGCTGATTAAACTAGAAGAGGCCAGAAAACTTTCTTCTAGCTGATATCTTTTCCGGTTTGGCTTAGTTCTCAAGATCTGCATTGTAGAAACAGGTGACAGTCCACTGCCAATTAGTGCTTCCACCTCTGCGAAGTTACTGTACATGTCTGTTCCATTCAACCTTCTAATTAATTATAAATGTTCTTCAGTGAAAAGAGGACTCCTTGATTTCCTCAGCTGGTCTGTTTTTGTAATGAAGTAATGAAAATTTGACTGGTGGTTTATATCAGTCAACAAATCAATCAGATCAAACTGTCTATTTAACTAGCTAATTAATATTTGAAACAAACACTCTGCTTACATCAGCATCTTCATACAGCTATTCTGTATGCCTAAAACGTAAAATTGCTTTGCCATCTAAAATAAACCTTTTTAACTGGTTGAGAATGTGTTAAACTTTCTTCTTCTTTCCTGTTACAAAAAATGTAATCACAATAAGTTTTTGTCTCGCTATAGTACTTAAAACGAGGGCCTTATTTCCTTGATGGTTGTAGTTTGGCTTGATTTCAATCAATTTGGCTTGATTTCTGTCAATTTCTGACAATGATGCAGGTATTACAGAGGATGTAATACACAAAGGGAAAGGGTTTTAAGCTCTAGGCAAGATAGAAACAGAAAACTCAATGAGGGAGAATTGCTTTCTAATGGTATATCAAAACCAGACAATACAAGACTCTTAGCAAAGGAGAGAAAGAAAACAGCTTGAGTTAATTTCATAAAATGTTGTTTACATGCTAGAGGCTTTTCAATACTAAAAAAAAGAATCATGTGCTAAAATGTTTGCTTTCAAAAAGAAATGGTATGAATGTGGTCAGAATCCAGAGAAAGTTCTCTAAGAGTAACACTGCATTAACCAAATGCTTCAAAAGTTAGATTAGCAGGGAGTTCATACACTGCAGGCTTATTGACTGTCTAGAGGCAGGCAGCCATGCTGTGTTCTATGAGTAGAGGAAAGAGAATCAATGTAGCAATTTCCTCTTTCCTTTTAGCCCTAATAGCCGAAACGTATACTTTTTTCCCCAGCTCTGATGCAATCTTAATTTGATTTCCAGCTTCCATTGAGTAACCTCTGTCTGTCACTGATATTCTTTATACATATGTTGAGATCAATAGGGTCACAACGGAGACACACCAGTGTCCCCAGTGAGCCATGTTTTAAACACGTACTACAGTACGTGACATTTTATGTCCTATTGGGTCCTTTGGGTTTCTTTTTCAACACAATAGAATCCGTGTTTTGGTCTTTACTGCATGTATAACTTGTGGACAAATAAATGGAACCCCAAAGTAAAACTACTAGTCAATCTCCAATATCCCATACATGCTCTTTGGCACTAAATCTCCTGCCGAATGCACCCCAAGAATCGTCCTTCTTTAAAAGTCTTCTCTTGCAGTCATGCTGGCCGTAGATACAGATGACCGGCATGTCTGCCATTTTTATAAGTGACCCTAACATTGCTGGGAATGTTATCTACTTAATGAAGGCATAAGCCAGACCTGTGTGAAAGCCCTTAATTTCAATGCACTTATTTAACCAGGTTTTTGTGAATCTTAGGAGAATTCTGTTTCTCACAATCAGCATCTTTTTGGGGGAAAAATAAACTAGTTTGCATTATCTTGCTGATTCAAATACCATTTAATTTTAAAGATCTAACATTTCACAAAAAATTATAAATATTTTCCAGTGTAATTAAAATAAGTTGGCAACAATTTTCAGAAAAAGCTTTTATGCTTTTATGCCTCTCATACCTGGCTCAAAGCAGCTGTTTCACTGTCAAACAAGAGGAATCAATCCAGTCACAAAGCATGCGCTGAGTATAAGAACTATTTTATATTAAGAACTAGAGCTTTCATAAGTGGTACGTTATTAAAGAAAACCCAGACAGCTTCATATGATGAAAGGAGAAGTGCTTACAGAACCCAAAATAATAGTTTCTTGAGACGCCAACGCGTTTTAGGATTTACGCGTAGGATACCAAAACAGCATATGGACTGCTGAAACACAAATTGAAGTGACAGTTTCCATGCTCAGGCTTATCTAGATAAAAATATACTTGGATAAAACTTAAAAACAAATAATTCTGCCATTCAATGGCAGTGTGGAATAACAGTTGATAAGTCTTAGCCATTCAACTGAAAACACCCTCAGAAACAAAGGTGAATAGTTTTAGATTACAGCTCACATACAAGGATAAAAATAAAATGAAGTTTGGTACAGATGATTTGACACAGCTATGTTCTAATATACATAGAGAGAAAGTAAGAGACTGAGATCGAGATGGACATGTTTTATTCAGGTAACATCACTGTTCTTGCTCAATCTCCAGAAGGGCTTGTGTCTCTTTTATCTTTCCAAGTCTTTATTTAACAGTGGGGAGGCTTTAGTGTAGTCTGACAGCCGAACCCACACTGTGAAAGGAAAACTGAGAAAACCTAAAAAACGAAAAAGATTCCCCCCCAGTTGTTGAGTATTAATGAGGATTTCAGTCTTCAGAAGTCAACAGGCCCTGGTCCTCGCAGTCTCTGGCTCCCAGCTCAAAAGCAGTGTCACCATATGAGAAGTTAATTTTGCAATTTGCTTTTGGAACATGGGGCAGACCGGAAAAAGGGGAATGAACTGGCTCCTGTGTTTCATTAAGGCAGGTAACATGGCTCTGTGCGGCTGCAGGTATTTTCTGAGGTTTCAAACCTGTCTCTTTGTACAAGGATCCCTTAATTGGGATGGACTAAGGGCTCCAGCTGCTCACAATGAAACCAGAGGGTTCTTTCTTCACACAGGACTTTCCTCCCTGTAGTGTCATTTCTCATTCTCCACCGTAGGCACGGTTCTGCTGCCGCCAGAGATCCCTTAGAACAAGCAGCCATGCCAACTAGTCTCCATGGCAATATGCAGAAGGTTTTCAAAAGAAGGCTGCTCTTCCTTTCTGAAATGTATACACCGTACACCTTCTTTGCCCTGATACACAACTATGAATAGTGCTCACCCTTGATGTTTAACATCGCCAGCAAAGATTGCGTATGGTGCTGGTCCGTTTGTTAAAACAACTGTGTCTGAGGTGTACTAGTAAGGTTTTGTGCTCGTAAAATGGGAACCCTGGGTGGGGTGGCACAATCTTTCCCTTTCCTGAGTTAAAAGGGTGAGTAACATAGTCTGTTTGCCCAGGAACACAACTGTTTTTTTTTTTAAATGACCAAGAGATGGTGAGCAGCCCAGCAATATTGTATGTAATACATAACTTACCCCACTGCAACGCCCTTCCTTTTGACAACCTCAATGGTGGCTATGGAGTGCTTGGCACCTGTGAGAACCTCCGATTTGAAGGACCATTGCTCATTCTTGGCCTTGGTCTGCAGCAGGTTCACCCCTTTCTTAGCCTTCACCCTGGAAAAGAAGCAGATGGGCAGTGAGCCGATGGCGCTGGTCAGCTCTTACTGGTAGATGACTCAAAGACAAGTCCCCCTGTCTCCTGACACATTATTGAGCTCATTCACCTTAAGGTCCCCTTTTTCCCCATAAAGAATGGAGGAGAAATAAATACGGCTAAATGCCTGACTTGCAAGTTACTCTGACTGGTTTTCAGCAAGTCAATTAAAAATGAGAAAACGGCAGTCACAAACACATGATGGCATGCAAATAGTGGAGTCAGCTGCAGACTCCAGGAGTGCAGCATTGAGATTGCCTCCTGCTTCAGGCTGAAAGGATGAAGATTGAGCTGAACAGCAAAGATAGCAAATAAGATAGGAAAGGAGTAATACAGTACATGAACTGTAATATACTCTACATACTGATATTACTATAAGTAGACTCCCTCTGAGAAATACCTATACAGTACATACAGGTCCCCTCTGGGCACATCATGGACTAATTGTCCACTTATTTTAAAATTAAATATGGAAACTAAGTAAGGAAATAAGGTCCATATTACAGATGCGTAGATTGTGTGCCCTTTCTTTCCTTAAAGACAGAAATGCTCCTTCCAGAAACATTCAAAAGGAGCTTTCATGAGCTCCGTAACCAGCATATAAATCGTGACAAAATCATCCCAGGTCCTCACCATGTTGTAAGGGCAGGGAAAAAACTCTGACACCCACAAAGCACACATTAGTCTTGGATTGTGAAGCAGGCGGGGAAAAATAAGAGAAGTGAGATTGAAATATCAGTCTCCTGGTAGAACGCACTTTTGTAAACAGGATCAGTGCACCTTTGGAGACCAGAAAATCTCTGGCTGCCATTTAAAATTGGATCCAGCAACCTATTTTGAAACAGCCTGTGCTGGTAGTAGCAGAACAATCCTACATAAAAGAGTCATTAGTTTGTCTATGTTAATCCTCTAGGAAGAGACAGTGAGCTGTGCAATGGTGGTTAACCTGCAATACAATTAACCATGACCAATGCCACAAAAGAAGCACTTAGTCATAGCTACATGAATGGGACTTTCACACACAGAGTCAGGATGAGTGCCAGAGTCTTCCAGTAGAATTTTTTTTGATAAATCCTTTCCTGCAGCATTCTATCCACCTCAGCAAATGTCTTCTAAAATGTATATTTGTTCTGTTTTCCCTCAGGATTTTTATAGGGAAATACCTAAAAAGTATATCAAATGAAAAAAACAGTCACAAAAATTAGAGAGAAAAGGCCAATCACATCTGAACTGAGACACAAAAATGAAACCTTAAGTAACTTGCTAGTAAAACCATTAACTTCCAGAAGAATGTGTATTTTCTAGGTTAATGTAGAGCTATTGAGGCATAAGATTGTACATAAGATTAAATAACCCCTCTTCCCTTGTGCAAAATATCTGCATGTCCTATATACACAAGTTCTAATAATGTGGGTTTGTTTTTCAATTGTAAGGAGGCATGATAAATAAAAAGGAGATACAGACAGGCTTGCCTCCAGACTGACTGCTGTTATTGTCTCCTGATTCTGTGGTTGAGAGACAGGAGATGTGACAATTTCACTTGGACATATACTCTGCTATCAGTCATTGGGTGATCTATATATAGTAACTTTAACTTCAGGACACACTTCCTTTTTATTGTTTCCCAGGAGCTACTGTGACATCAGGTTATAAGGAACAGTGACACTGCCTCAAAGGAAAATCTTTCAATGTTATCTGAATGGAAAACTTAAATAGGAGACCAAGCAAACTGTAATCTTTATAGATGTCACAAAAATGTGCCTTTGTCATACAGTATATGCCAAATAGCATATACACTTCTATCTTGCACATGAAAATGATTTGATATAAAAATTGGTGGGACACTAAGTAGCTGTTTATAGGTAGTTTTATAGGCACTCTTCAGTTGAGTGCACCCCATCGGCCAATATGCAACACTTTCAAACTGGTCCACTGACTGGGGAAATCTCATTTCTGCCAGGACCAAAAGCAGGATGACACAAATCTCACTACACTACCATCCGACTAGAATACTGCTGTTGCAGCTGGTTGACCAAGGTTTTCCATCATACCATCTGTAATGATGTCGGAAGAGTACTGTCTTCCGCTAGGTAGCTGCACATGGAACACAGTTGAAGGTTGTACAGTAGGTATTGTCTCTCTGGCTTTCAATTCAACAATTCAACAGCTACTGAGATAATGCGACAGAACTGTCTAATGGTACTGTACTTGAGTTACTGCACAAATATTTCCAAGGATGCACTTCAAAACAGGCAAAATAGGACATCAAAGAGTAACCAACCTTTCAGAGCCACACATTTCTTCTTTTGCCAGCACAAAAAGAAACAAGACAACCCAAATGCCCAAAGCACAGCACTTTGAACGTCTCAACAAAATGCGCACTGCATTTATTTGACTCACACGTCCTTTTTAATAGGTGTTTTTTCTACCCTGATGATTGTAAATATTCCCTTTCTGGCTCTTAGTTGTTTTCCTGACTTCTCCCACCTGCTGGAATCACTGCAGGTCAACTTTAAAGCCTAACCCATGACGAACAAAGCCAGCCAGCAGCTTCCCTATAGACAAAGCCCAGATAAGGTCTTATCTCGCATCCCATGCTCTTATATCAAAAGAGACACTGACAAATGACACATCATAGAGAATTTTTCCATACTAAACATCAGTGGGAAGAAAGCTACATCCATCTTCCCGACAGCCATCATAATACCACCGCGTGGAAAATGCTTCCATGTTATTACGTGTGGTGGTTCAGTGGTCCACATCCTTTCATAAACACAAAAGCCCAGCTTCCTGCATGTTTGTCTGGCACAGATTAGGGTAACGGCCTTTAAAGGCCTCTGATCTTTGCCCAGCTTTTATACCTTGAACACTTTCAATTATGTTGCCTTGAATGGAAAATGTTGTGGCGGAGGTAGGGCTTAGAAATAGTGGACCCATCACAATAAAGAGCACAAAAATACATCACAGCAAAAACATTTACTTTTAATCACAGAAAGGTAGCAGAAAACTCAAGGGCTACGATTCATAAACTGAATGACAATGGTTACAATATGGTTGAGACGTTAAATGCTATGCCTTAGATCGTTGGCCAATAGAAACAAGGCCTTCAAGAGCACTTCAGATCTTTAAAAGATCTCAGCTCCTTTAAGTCTTTCTTAAAAAAAAAAGCAATCATGTGCCTACATACTGTACACATACACATTAAAAACATTTTTCAAACAAAACATAAAAAATGCTTGGATCCATTGAAACACATAGGCAAGAATGACCTATAAGAAATGTCCCATTCCCCGGAGTGCAACAGGGAATAAGCAACCATCCTTAGTCAATGGAATGAGAAATACTAGGAACTAGGAAGAGGAGATTTCCAGGTTGGCTGTCATCATCTGCTAACTAGCCTCTGTTATGTGCTGTACCAGAGTGAGATATGAGCAAAATAAAAGATTGACTGACCAGCTTTTTTTTGGTTCTGCAAAATTTACAAGTATTCCTTATGTGATGCCAGTAAGCAGCTTACTGTAGCTGCCTGGTTATGTATAGGAAGGGCACAGAAGAACTGGAGTTTGAGCTCAGAGAGAGCTGGGGTCTTGTTTGAAGTTTATTAGCAGTAGATACAAATAAAAGAGCACTGTTTTTGCCTTCTGGCTGTGTACAGTACATATTTCTTGAGACTCTCCTATAAAAAGCTCATTGTTAATGATACACTGCCCCAGGTGTGCCACTTTTCCTTTTCTCACAGGGGTTTAAGACACCATTTCTGGTGTAAAGAAAATGAACATTAAGGAAGGTGATATTTCTCGAGGGCCTCTGCATTATTACCTTCTGCATGTTTTTTTTTTATGTGCCATGAGTGTCCCTCTCTTCACAATTTGGAAAGTAAAACCCTTTCCAGCTATATAAAAAAAACACTGGTTCCATCACTCCAGACTCATACAGTATGGGCAACTTATCTGGTATAGTTCTGCATTCCCAGCAAATTCCTATCTGTCCTAATGTATTATTTAAAGAGTAACTCATATTTGCTCCTGCCTTTTTGGCCACTTATAGACTGCCTTAATGTAAACTTGAAGAGTAGTTTAACTTGAGTAAAATGCAATCTGCCCTGTATTTTGTCCAGAGCAGCACTTTTTACTAGTTTCTCTTTCTCTTCAGCAAATGCTGCATTTCAATCACTTGCTTGACTGAGCACAGTGTGTCACATTCTGTACCATACGGAGAGAAAAAACTACTGCATTTTAAAGAACTTTTTTGGATATTTTTACAGTTTATGGCAGAGGTATAGGTCACACACTCCTAACAATAATTATCCAGTGCTCAAGAAATCAACATTTGAATTTAAATATCTGTTTTTTTATCACCCATTTAACATAAAACCATACTTGAAAGTAGCACATCCACAAAAAACCCACCATTCATTCGACTAACATTCACTCCTGAACTGCTTTTTGACAGTTAATAATGATGCTTGTTATAGATGAAGGCGGATAAATATAGCTCCAGTTTAAGAGGAACTTTTATCCATTGCCTTAGTCTATTTAGAGTACTATTGCTAGATAGTTTGTCGGCAAATAAGGATCAGGCACATTGGTTTTGTACAGGTATATGTACAGTATATGTGGATGATCGGTGGAGAAAATACACTGAAAATATACAGGGCTGATGGTGGCATTATACCAGACATTTGAGACCAAAATTAAAAGGATGGTGTCTAGCTTGTCAATGATTCTAAACAGTCAGACATCTCTGTTGAATTGGGACATTATAAAGCTATGAAAACAGATATTCAAACAGTATGAGAGTCCATGGACGCAGTGAAAATGAGGAATACACCCAGCATTGCGAGCAGTTTTGAACAGCACTGAGCAACCTGTCTTTCCACAAATCAAACATAGTTAAGAATAAACAAACTGCAGTAACGTCTGCTTTCTCACAACTTTTTCTGAACGCAGATTTTTCCCAC